ATCTGTAAAGCACAATAAAAAGTTGAGCATGGTAAGGCCAACACAAGTTGACAAGATTAGATTCTCTAATTAGGAGGGAGAAGCAGGGTCGATGTCCAGAGATCAGAGGCTAGAAGAATATCTGAAATACAGGGAAATCCAGGAGATAGAACAGTGGTTGAGATCAAACAGAGTGGCAGGGAAATAACTCTAGACATTTAGACCGCCCTTGCCACTCAGAGAGCAGAATATAGAGGAAGGATCACAGGTGGGATGAATGAGAGTGATTAGAATACCGGCAGGGGAGACGCAGGTGAAACTAGGAGCCAAATAAGAGCAGCACAGAGAAGCAGGTACAGACATGCAAGTAAAAAGGAGCAGGATCATTACATATTGAGGTAGCATTGCCAAGAATCAGATCATTCAGACTGTGCTTCCAAAAGGTCTCGCAAATGGTTAATGCCCCAATACTAAATTACTGATATTACTGATTCTGTCTGAATTACCTTTTTATGCAAGCAATCATATGTGGTTCAGTTATTAAAAAAATGCTGGCATGCAAGCTCTGCTCAGTAGTGCAGTGGGTTGCACTGCTGCCTTGCAGGAAGAAGGTTATGGGTTAGATTCCTGGCCCAGGGTCTTTCAGCATGCAGTTTGCATATTCTCTCTGAGCGTGCATACTCTGACTGTTAGGTTAATTGGCTTTTCAAAAAAATTTTCTTAGGTGTGTCTGATTGGTTGCTTGTCCTCTGTGTCCCTGTGTCCCCCTGTGATGGACGGGCGACCGGTCTGGGGTGTACCCTACCTGTTGCCCATTGACAGCTGGAGATAGGTACTGTACTAGCACCTCTTGTGACCCCAGTAAGGATAAGCGAGTTGGAAAATAGATGGTTGAATGCTGGCTTGGTAGGTAAATTAAACAATTTTTTATGTTTCTAGTGGTGTGGCGTGAAAAGAAAAAGCGGTTAAAGGTTGTTGTGTACAGCAGTTAACAGATATGGAAAAATAATCCAATTTTCAAATGATTGCTGTTGCAGAAGACCTCCAATGTTCTGGAGTGGCCCCAATCTCCAACCTATAGAAAACTTGTAAAAGTGGAATTTGAGTTATCGTAACTCGGCGGGAGTTATTCTCTGGGACTTCCTTAGCAGTGACAGCAACATCCGTGCCACTGTCAACCAGCTCTAACCTAACTTTGTGGTTTTTCCCAGACTGAGGACTAAGACAAGGTTAGTGACCATTACGTTTGATTGATGCACATCATAAAGCAAACCTGATGACTAATCTTTTGTCTCCATTTACAGAGGTTCCTGCCCTAATCGGTGACACTACCTGCAGCAGTTTGGTTTCAATAAACAAAGCTTTATGCACTGGTTGTCTGGTTTGAATTCTGGGTCCATCTGTTCTGATCATTACAATATTTATGCAATATACAAAGATTCTAAAATACTTCAAATTTACAAAAACATGTGTTTGTTACTGTGAGCAAATTTACCATTAGGCATCTTCAAAAAATCTGTTACATGTTTCATTAATTTGATGATACTTGTTTTGGCACCATTTTTTTGTTGTGCCTCTTAGACAAGCAATTTAATATCTCCCATTGATGAGCTCAATGCTCAGCTCTATTACTTCCAGAACTTCAGCTAGCTCCTTTGCTTCCTGTCTTTTATTACCGGACAGGCTGAATAATCCAGGTGTTTTCTGGCTGGTTACTAAGGTCAGTTACTAGGGTTATTTTGATATAAACTCATCATACATATTATGATTAATGATTATTATTATTTTTGCCTGATTAAATACTAAAAATGCCAATTGCCAAAATAGTTGGAGCTAAAAAAAAAAGGCAACATAGTAAATGATCATCAAACAGGTGGTTATCTCTTACTCCTGTTGCTATTTTCCTGTTGCTGACTCATATTTTTTCATGATAAAACTGAGTAGTTGAAAAGCACACCTAGTTTTTGCTCATAAACCACAATAAATTATATTATCTCTACTTATAATTATCTGCAAATATAAACTAAAGGTCACCAATCAGTTCTAAACCGAGTCTCTCACTCATGTCAGCTACAACCATAGTCTTGTCTTACTTTTTGTTGATTAGCTTGGTATATGTTACATTTTCAGTCCTCACATTTAGTACAACAGAATGCATGGAAGCCCTATTATTATTATTATAGGGCATGAACCAAACCTTTACCACAAGGATCAGCCAAATCCAAATACAAGAACTGAATTGATTAACTCACTGACAGTACCACAACAGAGCAGATCCTCATCAGTTGTGACCAGTTGGGACAACAAACTTCTGCTTCCTCTTCTTCTCTTTTTAAAGTCTGTTCCTTGTCTTTGCGATAACAGCAGTGAAAGGAGCTACCATAAAAACTGTTTTTGAGCGCAACATGCTCGTGCTCTCTGCGACATCTCCGGTGATAGCTTTAGCTGGGGAAAGGTGGTCCAACACGAGGACTGTCCCCGGAAATCGGGGATGTTTGGTCACCATGCTCTTGATGGTCACAATTAAATGAGAGTAATTAGTTAAGATGGGTGCTTTAAGTGTGGCCAGATAAAGGACCATGCATTGGACAAACTTTTGCACAAGGGTTTATGGAATACGTCCAAATGTGACAAACCAAGTTATTGACAGATTAAAAACAGTTGGTGATGTGTGGAGTGCCAGCTGCCATTATGCAAGACCATGGCAACACTTTTTCCAACCATCATAGGGTAACTCAAAGAAACATATGAAACACCAGTTTAGGGTGATTTGTATAGAGAAACACAGCTAAAACAAACTAGTTTTCCTGGGTTAATTAGTCAGACTGGAGTTAACGCCTGGAGATCCAGCTGTAGTTTTAAAACTAGTTTGCCTTCATGAGAGTAATAGCTGAGCTCGTTTAGTTTCCACATCTATTTGTCTGTTTTGTGGCTATGAAAGTACTGTTTGTTGAAAGAGCCAAATTTGTCTTTAGATGAGAAAAAGAGTTGCAGTCTTTCAGTTGACTGACCAGCAGTAACTTGTAACAAGTAGGGGAGGGGTTAACACTGTGTGAACTCTGGTCAGTCCAGTACTTCTTCTTGAATCTCATAAAACATGTTTTTTAAGCCATAGAGATTTAAAACTTTGGTATAATCCTGACACAGTAAGAGAAAGAACCACTTCAGGCATAAAGAAAAACCCTCGACCTTGTATATGTTTCTGTTTCTTTGTACCTGATTGGTGATAAATCTGTGACATCTGTTGTCTCTGCACCTATGTGATTCCATCCCATGAATCAGACTGTGTTTAATGTTTCTGCTTGTTATTCTGCTCTATCAACTCATGAGGGTAAAAGGATACCATCACAAATTAGACTCTTTTCTCCGCCTACCGTCTGTCTTCAACAGAAAGCCCACCAAGCTGTCAATCTGTAATTTCTCCTATGTGACTCTGTCCCAGCACCACCTCAGGGAAGCTTTTGGCAGACCTCAGTTTGCTCTACTCCCTGCTTCTACATCACCTTAGCTTTCTAGCTCCCACCTCCAGCAAGCCTCTCTTTAATAATTTACTGCCAGACTGCAGCAAACCCAGCTATCTCCTAGTCAGGTCCCTCCTTTGGGGTCTACATCCTTTTTTTTTTTTTTTTTTTGACGTACAGAGGATCAGTTGTTCCAGAAAGTCTGGGGAGAAGGAAACTTCTGTTTTTACTCTATGGTCGACTGCACGAGCAAATTAAAGTTGGCTTTGGACTGTTTTTTGCTGCTGCATCACAGAAAAAGTTTCCAAAATCCAACTGTTCGCAGTTAAAGCAAACAATAAGAAACACAGTAAAATGATGATTGAGAAGGGGGACATAAGTCACCAGCAGATTTTTTTTAATGATATACCAACTAAAGCAACAAACTATCGCCATATACTGTAAACACAAGTTTGAGAACTAATAATGAATTTTATAAATGTTAACAGATGAATCAAAATTCTAAGTGTCTTTCTCTCAGATTTAAATGCAAAGGATTTACACATAGTTCAGATTTCCTTTACTCAACTTAAAGCTACAGTAGAATTTTGGAATAAAGAAAACTGAGAACTTTAAAAGGAAGAAGGTCTTTAAGATCAACAGTTTCTACTGTATACAGAACCACCACCTTTCCAAGCACAAGAGATCCTACTTGTGAGCGAGGGGAACAGGTTGAAAACTATTTAATTAACTGTAGCTTTGGCTCCAACAGCATTTTATGGGAATAGGATGGCTGTGGCTTTGGCACATTATCTAAATGTGGGTATATTTTATTTGGCTACAATAAATTAATCTGAATGTGCTAGATATTTTCTTTACCTCAAGATTTAAACAAAACATTATAGAAGACCAAATAAGGAAATTCAGTAAACATTGAATCTGAACAAACAGTTTGACCGTTTTTAATGGAACAGAATGAACTGGTCTAAGTCTGTCTCAGACTTTTTCCCTATTCACCATTAAACACCTCACATAAATTAACCACAGATACATTATCTGATACATTATCCGCTACTACTGAGATTAAGAAAAAGAAATTTAGTTGTTAATTTATTTAGTGCCAATTTAGAACAGAGGTTTTCCATCTCAACTCAGCAGATTTCATATTAAGGTCGGCAGAAAGGAAAGCTCCCCTTTAAAACAAAGAAACTCCAGCAAAATATGTCTCAGCCTGAGCGACTATCTCCTAAAACTGAATGGGGAATGGAAAAGAAAGAGCAGACACACAAATAATGCAATAGGACTGAGCCAGGCATAACAACCAATAAATGTTAATAAAGTTACGACTTACTTGTTTCATCTGCTGAATATTGAAAAAATTAGAAGTATCTTATCCAGGGGTGTAATGAAGAGGTCTTCATTACTGGGACTATTTTTATGTATATAGTTTTATGTAAATAGCTTGTAGCACTTTTAAGGGCCCTTTGCACTTTATTAAAAACAGCTTGCTTAGCACTAGGACACTTTATTGGGCACTGCACTTTAAGCATAAATTTGCACATAAAGAACAGTTTGCACACAAGGTTTTTAAAATATTTATTGAATATTTATTGGGTATTTTAATAATTAGCATGTAGCCCTTTGTTCAAGGCTCTCCACAGCTGCTCTCCATTAGCAATTGGGGTGGTTGTCTGTGGAAAAGAGGATTGGTGTTTAGAGCAAGCAAGGGTTACTGTTTAGAAACTTCAGCAAATGCTAGTGTAAAGTCTGTTAGAAGGAAGTGCAAAATAAGTGTTGTGGTGCTGAGAAAGTGACTTACCTGTCTTTTCTGTGTCCTCTCCAGGGTGTTTGGACAAATGCATCCCCGGGGGTCCAGACACCATTTATAGGTTCTGGGAGAGGCCATGGAGAATACAGGGGGAGTTGTGCACATAGTTTGTGGGATTTCTATACTGTTTGGGTGCAAGTTAAATCAGAAAATGTTTATAAAAAAATAACCTTAAGTGTATGTTTGTAGATATTTGATTTAAATGTGTATTTTTTGATGGAAGTGAGGAGTTAATTTTCTATTGTAAATGGTTTAGTCCATCAGCTGTGTCTATTTAAGCTAGAGATTGTGTGTTTGATGGAGACTGAATGCTGTGGAGCCTAATAAACCTGTTGATGCCTCAACTTTACTCTGCCTGACAAGTTCATTGCCTCACTGAAAATCCAGCCGAGAGGTCGCCTGCTAACAGTTGGTGTCAGAAGTGGGATCTCCATGCTACAGTGAGATGATGACTAGAGGTGGAAAAAAGGCAAACCAAGAGGAAGAGCCTGAAGGGGCTTCAGCTTCATCTGATCTGGAGGCTATGGCAGCAGCAAAGCCTGTGGACAGGCTGGAGGAACTGGCGGGGTTGGTTACATCTCTGTTGCAGTCTCAAGCAAATAGAGACCAGAAATTGGAGAAAGACTTTTCTCGCCAGGAGCAGAGGTGGAAAAGCATGCAGCACCAATTTCAACAACTACAGCTCCTAGTAAATGCTGTGATTGATAAACCTGAACCTGAAGCACCACCTTCCCCCGCAGCACATGAAGTGCATGAAGATGAATCAGAGGTTGGTGATGTCCAGGTTCCCCATGGTTCCAGGTCCCTTATGGAACCAAAATTGCCTCTCTTATCTGCGGATGACGACATTGAGCATTTCCTGACAACATTTGAGAGGATGGCCCAGGTGTGTCGCTGGTCCAGAGATGAGTGGGCTGTGCGTCTCGTTCCCCTTTTGACAGGAAAAGCTCGTACCGCTTATGTTCTCATGGATATCGCAGATGCTGAGAACTATGACAAAGTGAAAGAAGCAATTCTGGCAAAGTATGAGATCACTGCTGACACGTATCGACGCCGCTTCAGATCCCTGAGGGTGGAGCCAGGTGAGACGCCACGTGAGCTTTATGTACGACTGAAAGACTTGTTTTCAAGATGGGTTAAACCTGAGAAATCTACTGTACAAGAAATATCTGAGCAGATAATTCTGGAGCAGTTTTTGAGGATGGTTAATCCAGAGTTGGAGATATGGATACGGGAGCGTGACCCGAAAACGGCGAAAGAAGCAGCTGGCCTTGCAGAGGTGTTCACATCCGCCAGGAAGGGGAGCAAGAGCACCTGTTTTGCCCGGGAGACCCACTATGCCCAACCAAGTAAGTCCAATGGGGGTGAACAGGGGTTTGGTCAGGTTCAGGCTAGAACTATGTCTAGTTCAAGGCAGATTCCTTCCCATAGACAACATAGTGGTAAAAAGTCATTTCCAAAGTCCTCAGCCCAAGACGTAAGATGTTATAATTGTAATAACTTTGGCCATACACAACATTTTTGCCCTGCCCTGAAATCAAAGCCATCTCTTTTGTGTTCAGTTCCAAGACCAGCCACAGAGATGGTAGAAAAGAAAGTTTGCATGGTTCCTGTTCTAATTAATGGGGAGAAAGCCGAAGCTTTGCTTGACTCTGGGTGCTTCCAGTCTCTAGTACAAGCTAGCCTGATCTCAGAGGAAAATCTGAATGGGGTGGGGACTAGAATAAGTTGTATACATGGGGATGAACATGTTTACCCTACAGCTGAGGTTTATTTGACAGTTGGAGGTCAGACTTACCTGGTACAGGTAGCTGTGGTTCCCTCGTTGCCTTATTCAGTCATACTGGGAAATGATATCCCCACTCTCTTTGATCTTATACATCAGTCAGATCATGATTCCCAAGTAATCAATGACGGAGACACCCAGAGCTCAGTTGATCCAGTAGAAGCATTACAAACAAGACCATTGAATCCATGTCATGTCATCACAAGGGCCCAGAGTGCAAAGGCAGGGCTGGAAGAGTTACCTTTTTTCAGGGAATCTCTGGAAGCACAGCCAGGAAAGACTAAGAAATCTAGAGCTCAGAGAAGAAGGGATAAGTTTAGAGGTTTGGGTGGTGGGAAGACAGAACCCTTATCTAAGCCAAATCTCTTTGATTTTGACATTCCTTCAGATTTGGGGGCACTGCAGAGAGAGGATCCTACTCTGAAACCCTGGTTTGAAAAAGTGACAGGGAAAGGGGAAACTAATCAGTGCCAGGTAAACTTTCTAGAAGATGCAGTCTATATGATTAAAGGAGGCATCTTGTACCAGAAAAAGGGAAAGTGTGAAGCTTTAGCTCTCCCACAACAGTTCCGGTTCAAAGTTATGGAGCTTGGGCATTCAATTCCTTGGGCTGGTCATATGGCTTTTCACAAGACACTGAGTAGGATCAGCACCCGTTTTGTCTGGCCAGGAATGTATAGGGAGATTTCAAACTTCTGTAGTTCCTGCAAAAAGTGCCAGTTGACTTCAGGCAAAGGTGTAGCACGAGCTCCACTACAACCACTCCCCATTGTTGAGACTCCTTTTGAAAGACTAGGCATGGACATTGTGGGTCCCCTAGAAAAGAGCTCTACAGGCTATCGTTACATATTGGTGATATGTGATTATGCTACACGATACCCAGAGGCCTTCCCACTTAGATCTATTAAAGCCCGCCATGTTGCTAACTGCCTTCTGCAACTATTCTCTAGAGTAGGAATCCCAAGAGAGATTCTTACAGATTGTGGAACAAACTTTTTGTCCAAATTATTGCAGCAGGTGTATAAGTTGTTAGGGATTAAGGGTCTTAGGACCACCCCTTATCACCCCCAAACGGACGGGCTAGTGGAAAGATATAACCAGACTCTCAAAAACATGCTGCGCAAGTTTGTCTCTGACACAGGTGCAGACTGGGACCAGTGGCTGCCTTACCTGTTATTTGCTTACCGGGAGGTTCCACAGGTTTCCACAGGCTTCTCACCCTTTGAACTATTGTATGGACGCCAAGTGAGAGGCCCACTGGATCTGCTGAAGGACTGCTGGGAAGAGTCCAAGCCAGAGGAAGAGAACATTGCTGCGTATGTCATAAACATGAGGGAGAGACTGCAGGAGATGGCATCATTTGCACAGGACAACATGAAAGCAGCTCAACAACATCAGAAGACTTGGTATGATCAGAAGGCCAGAGACAGGGTCTTCCTTCCAGGGCAGAAAGTACTGTTACTGCTTCCCACCAGTGAGAACAAGCTGCTGACAAAATGGCATGGACCATATGAGATCACTAAACAAGTAAGTAAACTGGTTTATGAACTGCACATGCCAGAAAGGGCTAAGAAATATCAGACATTTCATGTCAACCTGTTGAAGGAGTTTCACAGTCGACAGGAGCCTGTGCATCAGGAGTTATTTGTGCGTGCAGTTGAGGATGAAGAAGTGACTGAAAAATTCTTCCCTACCAGCACATCAGAGGATTTTTCAGTTGACCTTTCTCATTTGTCCCCTGTTGAGCAGAGCAACATAAGTCATCTTTTGGATCCTCATCTTTTTAAGGAAACTCCAGGATTCACATCACTGGTTCAACATAAGATCCGGATGAAAGATGGTGCACCTAGCCGGCAAAAGAGCTATCGTATACCAGAGAGGTTGGTGCCGGTGCTGAGAAAAGAAATAAAGCTGATGTTGGATTTGGGAATAATTGAAGAGTCCTGTAGTGAATGGTGCAGTCCAATTGTGCTGGTACCAAAGAAGGATGGTTCCCTCAGATTTTGCATTGATTTTAGATATGTGAATGCCATGTCCAACTTTGATCCATACCCAATGCCCAGGGTTGATGACCTATTGGAGAGAGTCGGTTCAGCAAGCTACATTACAACGCTGGATCTGTGCAAAGGATACTGGCAAGTGGCTTTGGCACCAGAAGCAAGAGAGCTGACCGCCTTCAGAACTCCTTTTGGTATGTACCAATTCAGGGTTATGCCTTTTGGGCTACAGGGTGCACCTGCAACATTCCAACGTTTAATGGATCATATACTGAGAGATGTGTCAGCATTTTCTGCAGCATATCTGGACGATGTCGTGGTGTATAGCCAGTCCTGGGAGGACCATGTGATTCACCTACAGGAGGTGCTGGAGCGCATCAGGAAGGCTGGGCTGACTATTAACCCAAAGAAGTGTACCATAGCCCAGAGAGAAGTGGAGTATTTGGGTTTCGTCATTGGGTTTGGACAAATAAAACCTCAAGTGGGGAAGATGGAGGCAATCCAGTCCTTCCCAGTCCCAACCACAAAGCGGAAGGTGAGAGGATTTCTGGGTTTGGTTGGCTGGTACAGAAAATTTATACCTTCTTTCGCAGACCGCTCAGCTGTACTGACTGATCTAACAAAGGCTTCAGCCCCCAACAAAGTTTGCTGGACAGAAGAGTGTGATCGAGCATTCAAGGATCTCAAGGCCGCAGTGTGTTCTGACCCGGTTCTACACAGCCCAGACTTCAGTAAGCCATTCATCGTGCAAACCGATGCGTCAGGAGTGGGGCTTGGAGCGGTCCTTCAACAAGAGGTGGAGGGTGAAAGGAAGCCTGTGGTGTTTTTGAGTCGGAAGCTGCTTGACAGGGAGACCAGGTACTCAACAGTGGAGAAAGAATGCTTGGCCATGAAGTGGGCCATCGAAAGCCTCAGGTATTATCTTCTTGGCCGCCACTTCACTCTAGAGACTGACCATCGGGCCCTTCAGTGGTTAAGACGCATGAAGGATGCCAATGCCCGCATCGCTGGATGGTACCTGTCTCTGCAGCCTTTTGATTTCACAGTTCAGTACAAACCTGGAAAGTCCAATGTGGTTGCTGACTGTCTGTCCAGGATACACGACTGAGGTTCTGGCTTAAGAGAAGGGGGAAGAAATGTAATGAAGAGGTCTTCATTACTGGGACTATTTTTATGTATATAGTTTTATGTAAATAGCTTGTAGCACTTTTAAGGGCCCTTTGCACTTTATTAAAAACAGCTTGCTTAGCACTAGGACACTTTATTGGGCACTGCACTTTAAGCATAAATTTGCACATAAAGAACAGTTTGCACACAAGGTTTTTAAAATATTTATTGAATATTTATTGGGTATTTTAATAATTAGCATGTAGCCCTTTGTTCAAGGCTCTCCACAGCTGCTCTCCATTAGCAATTGGGGTGGTTGTCTGTGGAAAAGAGGATTGGTGTTTAGAGCAAGCAAGGGTTACTGTTTAGAAACTTCAGCAAATGCTAGTGTAAAGTCTGTTAGAAGGAAGTGCAAAATAAGTGTTGTGGTGCTGAGAAAGTGACTTACCTGTCTTTTCTGTGTCCTCTCCAGGGTGTTTGGACAAATGCATCCCCGGGGGTCCAGACACCATTTATAGGTTCTGGGAGAGGCCATGGAGAATACAGGGGGAGTTGTGCACATAGTTTGTGGGATTTCTATACTGTTTGGGTGCAAGTTAAATCAGAAAATGTTTATAAAAAAATAACCTTAAGTGTATGTTTGTAGATATTTGATTTAAATGTGTATTTTTTGATGGAAGTGAGGAGTTAATTTTCTATTGTAAATGGTTTAGTCCATCAGCTGTGTCTATTTAAGCTAGAGATTGTGTGTTTGATGGAGACTGAATGCTGTGGAGCC